CTTTTACTATTTAAAAGAATTTCTTCTAAAATTATACAAACTCTGACCCCTTTCATATGTTTAAACTAAAAAATTTCATTTTTTGAAATTTAAATCACCCAGTAAAGGCCATTTCACTGAACTTCATAAAAGTTTACACAACTCTGTACTGAATTAAAGAAACTCAAACATTATGAACTTAGCATTTAAGCTTGCTTTAGTATATACACAAGCTGACATTTCACCCAAAAGTTTCACAAATATTTTATAATATTAAATATATTTCTGTCCCCATGATCTTATGTTATTAATGATATTCATTTACCCCCAAAAGTAAACTAAATTGGAATAATTACCTATCAGCTCCAGCACATGACAACATCTTGTTGATTCTGATGACGTGGAAAGGATGCACTCTCATTCTAAGATGGAAGGATTCTTTGCCGCAGTATTTGACAAGGTACTTGTTGGCGCAGATTCTGGCAGCCTCTAATGCCTCCGATGACAACTGTTCATATTCATCAGACACAAGATGTACACACAGAGGGAAATCCTCTACAGATGCCTTTTTACGTCCCAAATCATAAATACGGATCTTCGGGTCTATAATGAAATAGAAACAGATGGCAATTAAGTAGTACATAGTGAGTAAAACATGGGGAAAAGACCCCTGGTTTATTCCAGGATATATCTGACATTTCTTAGTAAATTGGAATGATAATTAACAATTTTCCACAATTTCAATTAAGACAGACTGTTTTCTCTGAATATTACTAAATTTTCCCAAATCTACCATCCACAATGAAACATTCCCAAATGATTAAAAAAATCATTGATGTGAAACAAATAAATGAATACTGCAGCTTACCTGGCACACCACGACAGAACCTTGACTTTGGGTAAGGTTTGTTTTTACAGTATCTGTAACTAAAAGAAAGAAGACAAGTAGATGTTAATCTAGATGTCATCAACATTGTACAACAGTATTCCTGATCAAGCTATTTACAGCTTCAAGCTAAAAGTTCAAACTCCGCAGCTTTAGAATGAGATGTTTCACTGAAATGTTTTATTAATATAAGGATGACTGACAAGGGCAAATAATTTATAACACATCTATTTATACTTCCTACCACATTTGACCCTTGGATCTAATCCACGTTAGAGTCTATAACAAATAATGAAAATTTTATGTGTCTTGTAAAATTATTCTATTTCTATGAGTGGAGAATGAGATTGACAGACCACATTTAGTATTAATTTTCTGCTTTAACAGTTGTATGGAATTATTAACCAAGCAAATATGTACTTAAATATGACCAGGCTTGTAAGCATCAACTGTTATCAAATCATAAATCAGAACACTAAATAGAACTACTCACCACCGAGCTGGTCGGCGCCCCATGGTTATATCTGAAAATAAACAGTGAAATATAATTGAATGAAATGGATACAAAACATGAAATGATAAACATAAGTTTCAGTTGAAAATATTTATGAAAACAACTACAATGGCTCAGATGTCAGTAGATTTTCATTCGCCCTGTTTATTTACGGGCATTTTCTACCTTACCTAAAATGAAAAGATCGACTTCCGGTAGAAACCGGAAATTGTTAAATATTGTTGTGCGAAATGACATTTTTACCGAACAACTACTTTTTCCTCTAATAGTCGTTTCAGCTCAATAATATTTAAGGCCAATTTTTTTAATTCATAAAGTTTTTGACTGAGATATAAAGATCTACATAAAGAATATAAAATTTGGAATAAGAGAAAAAAAACTCTACAGTACAGTACAAAACTAAAAATGGGAATATACTATTCTCAAAAATGTTGTAGGCTCGATCAGTTTGAAAATGTCCAAAGAAAAGCAGCACGATTAATCAAACTAGATTATGATCAGATTTCTTACGTTACAGACATGCCCCACTCCTTAAATTTCTTCAGACTAAAACGTATATATGGTGGCTGATTTGTGTCATTCGTGTTTTCGCCCACAACCCCAAGCAAGCAAAAAGTCGAAAATTAACAAGTTAAAATGGCTGGGCGCATAGCGAAAACACGCTAATTAGCGGGGGCGCAGGGTGAGATTTAAGAAATAAAATGGCGGGGGCGTGGAGCGAATACACGCTTATTAGCATGGGGGCAGCAGAAATTTTTTTATATAAAAATTTCCCCCTAAGCCCGGGCCCAATTAGCGTGGGTTTTTGGGTTTCCCCGGGCCCCCTCAAATTTTAAAATTTTTTAAATTTTTGGGCTTTTTGGGTTGGGGGGGGTACAGGGAAAGAAAAAAACAAATGGCACAAATTTAGGGCCCCCCATACGTAAAATATGCTTTTGTTTTTCCCCTTTTTGGGGAAGATTTTCCCTTGGGCTTTGTTGCTATCCCCCCCAAAAAACCACTTGATACTCCCCCTTCAGCCACCCCATCCCTTCTCCCACGAACAGTAACAACAACTTAAGACAATAATAAGTTCTTTTGTTTTCCAGGACTGATTATTTTACCCAAAGCAATTATTCTTCAAGCTACCTCAGAGTAGTCCGTGTAGCCAAATCTACCATTGAACAGTTTTCCAGCCACCTTGATTTAATTATGCGATTATCCGTCTATCCATATTTTCTGTATACATGTAGGGATGGCCGGCCAATCACTAATGTTTCATGGCGAGCCTACAATAACAAAACGACGAAGATCTAATAGGTTCAATTTAAATGATTGTGACATCTGAGTAAAGCTTGATGTGCGTCCAAAGTCGGATCTGACCAAGGGTCAGATTTCTTTAGTCATATTCTATCTGATCACTATAGGTTTGACTACACGGGGAACCAGACTGAATGCATATTTGAGTTGTGGTCAAACAAGTATATATGGCACAGAATCACAATTATTTTTACCCCAACATGACAAGGGATACAGGGATACAAGGGTTACACAAGGTAACAGTGGGATACAGTTAATTTCCATCATGTAATAGATATTTTTAAAATTAAATTTTGACATTTTGGTTATCTATTTTACCTAGAGATATTATTTGAATTTAAAAAAAGAGATCTAATTTTACTTATAATCGATAATCCATTAGCATCACCAAATCAAAGGGGCTTGTTGGCTGAGTAATTAGTAAGCACATATCTACAAACAAGGATATAAATCAGAGACGTTAATTTACGATATTCAGTAAAAAAAAAACTTTAATATGTTCACACAAAAAAAGACTGGACCATTGTGGTATTTAGTAGGGGGTAGTATCGTTCGAGGATAGTCCCTGTAAGAAGTCCCTGTAAACTCTGGTGTCCCCAAGGCTCAGTCCTCAGCCCACTCTGCTTTCTGATCTACATTAATGAACTTCCATCTTCTGTCTCCAAGTCTCAAATTCGCCTCTTTGCTGATGACACTGTGGTTTACATTTCTATAAACTCGTCCTCAGACTCACAATCCCTTCAGGAGGATCTTAATAAGATGCAAATCTGGGAAAGGGAGTGGGACATGGAATTCAACCCCTCAAAATGTCAAGTCCTTCACATCACTAAAAACAAAAAAAGTCATCAACAACAAGTACTTCCCGTTCATGGCCAAGCTTTAACATCAGTTCCTAGCTCAAAATACCTTGGCCTTGACTTGTCCAAGACCTAAACTATAACACACATATCTCAAGAATTACAATCAAAAAAACCTAGGATTCATAAAACGAAATATCAATACAAATACAAAAAATGAAAAAGTAAAACAACTAGCTTATAAATCCCTAGTAAGACCCCAGTTAGGAGATACGCATCAACTGTTTGGAGCCCCTACACACAATCAAACATCCAAAAAATAGAGATGGTCCAAAGGACGAGCGATACGCTGGGATAAAAAGCAGGATTACTCCCTTTGTCATCAGTTACAGCCATGCAGAAAGATCTTGGCTGGCGTTTCTCTCGAGCATCGCAGACTAGACTTTAGACTTATTATGTTTTTAAAATCTACCATAATCTAGTAGCCATTAGCCTTCCCACCTACATTTAAAAACTCCATCGGAGGCTTACTAGACATATGCATCCCCTCTCTCTGAGGAAAAACAGGTTACATCAGATTACCAATAAGCGTTACTCCTTCTTCCCCCACTGTATCACACTTTGGAATCAGCTCCCCAGGAACATTGTCACCCTGCCTGATCTAGATCAATACAAACATGGCACGGGTTAAGATACAGTATTAGTTTTGACTTGTTGTGTTTTACTTTTAAATCTTTCTTTCACCCTTACTAATTAAAAACATTTTTAACCAATGACTAGAGCTTTCAAAGTCTCTCACTGTCCTGATCTGTTCATTTTCAGGTTTTTACTTTCTCTCACACCTTTTACTAACACACCTGACGCGCACAATTTCATTCATTCATTCATTCATTCATCCATCCATCCATCCCATCCATCCATCCCATCCATCCATCCATCCATCCATCCAGCCATCCATCCATCCATCCATCCATCCAATCCATCCATTCATTCATTCATTCATTCATTCATTCATTCATTCATTCATTCATTCATTCATTCATTCATTCATTCATTCATTCATTCATTCATTCATTCATTCATTCATTCATTCATTCATTCATTCATTCATTCATTCTAGTACTTGTGTATTTAACTTTTTCCCAAACTTCAAGATTTCAAGATTTTATTCAAAACCAAGGCATATAATATGCATAAGGTTATGATATATCAACAATATAATGAACAGTTATACAAAAAGTGAATTAAACAAAACATATATACATAAAATTATATATAATAAGGGAAAAATCAATTTGACTAAACCATATCATTTGACCTAAACTTTCTCTTGACAACAATTGTCTTATACAAATTTATTTAAAAATTGTTTCTATGGCAAGTAAATTTGTAAATTCATAAAGTTGAGAAAATCATGACTTACAGGAGTATGAGTTATTTAAATTTTGAAATAATAATTTTGCAGAATAATGCAAGTTTAAATAAAGTTGAATGGTCAGAGGAAGAATGCGAGGCAGGTTGGAAATTTCGCCAAATTATACCATTTCGTACTTTAAATCACGTGACCTGTGGGAAGTACCAACAAAAACATCAATTTTTTGCAGTTTATTCTCATTAATTTGTCATTAACAACAAGTCTGTTCATTTGCAGTCTGTGCTATGAAACATCAAAATGAATGGCATGTATTTGATCTTTTATAGAGCATATTTTTCTACCAAGCAGTTTTGAATGACTTTCCACATTTCGGATATTGTAAATTTCGGATAAAGCTGCATTTGTTGAAATTCCGGCCATAAAATTAGCATTTCATATTATTTTATGATGATAATAATTAAATGCTTGATTAATTTATGCTCTACTCTATATATAATTCAAACTTCCCCTTATGCGAATGACGTTGGTAACTCAATGTTACAAAATCTTGTTAAGTAAAAACTACATAGGCATAGAAATTATTATATATATTATATTATATTATCATATTGTCTGTAGTCTTCTTCTCCACATTCCTTAGTCCAAAATAATTAGATGTATTTTTTACATTGGTCAATTTCAAATTTGCCGTAATTCACATTTTACAATAAATGTAAAACTGTAAAATATCAAGAAAAGAAAAGAAAATGCAAAGTCTTTTAATGAAGGACTACCTATTCCTGAATTAGTTTTCTTTAAAATTATGGTCCACCTTGTTTCAAATCCACTGTCCACCTTGGTACAGATGGTTAAACCATAGTAAAAGAAGAGAGTAGTAATTGAACAATGGAAGCCCAATACTGATAATGATAAATTAGTTACAGAAACACTTTGGTCAACTTTACTGTGAGACATTGAAACCTTTAAAAATACACTGTTAAAATCAAGTACAATGTACATCTATCAAGCAGATTTAATCTGTTATTTCATAACATAGCTTTTATAGCTAGTGTCATAATGTTTATTGTAACCAACTATAAATAAAGATTGTCTTATTTTAAAATTTATATTATGATTTTAGGGGATGATCCACATGCCCAGGAGAAACAGAGCTTACAAACCAGATTACTGGATGCTGTGAAGCAGGTATCTAACTGGAGGATATGTGCCTACTAACAATATTAACAAAGTTCCTATAAATAGCAGTAAATGAAGATAATAGGTTCAAGATGTTCTGAATGTGCAACTGTACTGTAAAGTCAGCATTTTTTTAGATGGGTTAAATTTTAGTAGTTTCATGAATGGAAGAGTTTTAGTAAGTTTCACATAGATTTAACAGAACAGGTTGTTTACTAATAAAAGAACAGGTGTTTTCCCCCAGGATTTTGTGAACATGACCCATGCCCATAGAATTGGGAATTTCAGCGATGTTTTGTTAAAAATTGAGAAAAATTGCATGACTTAAAGTTTGCAATGATTAAATGAATGCAAAGAATCACTGTCTAGAATTGAGCCTGCAAACATTTTAGCACCATAACAGTGAAGAAGAAGCCCTTTTTTCTCCAGAGATTTTAGAATTTGTAATTCAATACTTTTATTTTGTAACTTTTAATTGGGAATTTTTTCCTGTGGATTGGGAAAATAATATACTATTTTTAAATTGGGAATATGACCAAATATTGGCTATGAAATAAGGCAAAAAAAAATCCTTGAAGAAATTTGTGATTATTGAACCTAGCCAATTAATTTAACATTATTATATTTATAATTAAACAAAACTATGCAGTGCAAGTTTAGTTAACTGCCTAACATTTTATGATGTAATTTGTTGATTTACAGTGCCAGGTACGATTTGGTGGGAGAACAGAGCTTGCTACAGACAGTGATGCCAGGTGTTATTTTATTTATTACTTTTCAATCATTCTCTCAAATGTACTATAACCATTTAAACCTTTTTCCTGCTTAAAAGACAGGTGACCAGTGTCAACCATGATGAGTGGGCACATCCATGCAAAATATGTATTGAATGAATATCATACAATCCTGTCTGTTCATGGTCTCCACTATTTGATATTCTGTCATGTTGAATTTGATATTTTTCCCTTAAAAATGATGGATGGTTATGTCCAGCTTGTAAGAAGGAAAATACCGGAAAATACCATTCAAGAAAGCAACTTAGCTGGGTAAGGGTTAAAATATCAATATACAAATGTACATTTCTTTAGTTTGATTTTTTTTTCTCGAAAAGATATTTTACTTATATTGAGGGGTACCACTTTAATAACAGCATCATCATATTTGTTAATTACAGAGTATCATGTCTGTGTGCAGCCTGGGAGAGTGTACTGCAACATGGTATGAAAGGTGAAACAAAAGCTATTGCAGCTCTCAAGTGAGTACAAATATTCATATGATAATAGACATGTAGATTATGTGATGTTAAGGGATAAGAATTTATGCTGAGAACTTGAGATGTTAGGTAAAGAGTTCATGTGAAAATTGTGAAAAAATATAGACTGCTGGTCTTCTAACCTCTTTTGTTAAAGATATATTATGCCCAAACTTGATCTTTGAAAATTCTGATAATTACTATACAGTCTCTGTTTAATTGTAAAATATATTTCTTTAAGAACAGACAAAAGATATGTTATGAATGAGACAATGGATAACATAACTGCATGTGTATCTTTCAGAGACATTATTATATTTTTAGGATAAAACTCATAAAAGTTTCATGATCTATTTGTTAAGTAAACAATTATCCATTATTTTAGCATTTTCCTAAAAGTTTTATTCAATAACATTTTGATGTTACTAAAAAAAACATAAATGTACTTTTTGTCATAGCAAATGCTCTATATACATACATTTTTTGTTTGTTTCTTATTTACACCCCCCCCCCCCAAAAAAAAACAACAACAAAAAAACCCCAAAAAACTAACAGCAACAACAATGTCAACAACAATTACAAGAGGAATCAGGATATTTTGTTAAGAGTTAATATTATCACACGCTTTCTTGTCTTGTATGGGTATCAAAAGATATAATAAATCTTATTTTTATTTTGCATCAGACAAGTTTCCGAAATGACTGGTCTCACAAAGGTTGCAGAAATGTTTGCAGACAAACCCATTGAAAAAGATCTAGGTCAGTACATTTAATGAATCGGATATAAGATTTAAACGCTTTATAAACCTATTACTATACACATAACAGTATACACCGATATTCAGGGGACCACTGATTTTATATATTGTAACATCTAGATAATGCTATATTCGAGCAGCAACCAATTTGTAAACAAGTCTGGACTGTGACCTTGGTAGTAGCATTGAAATAAGTGGTATATCGTTACAATTGGAGGTTACTGTATTATGGTTTTCTTCTGCCTTATTAAAACTACCATTATTGTATTTCTTTAACCCCTCTACACTTGGTAGCATTTTAAATGATTTATTCAATTTTCTGTTTTTATTCTATAAAATATTTTTATGCAAGTTGTAATTTTTTAGTAATAACATATCCCCTTAATAAAATCAAGTTGTTCATTTTGTATTCAGTGTTCTGGAACTATGTAAAGGAAGTGTTGACAAGACATGAGGCAGATAGATTCATGAACCTGAAAAATATTAATACAGACTCTGGTAGAGGAAGATCCTGGTTGAGGGCATCATTTAATGAACATTCACTAGAAAGATACATGCACATGTTAGTGGAAAGTGATTCATTATTAAGGTAAATGGAGTGTTCATAACCATGGACATCTTTTTTTTTTTCCCTCACAATTGATTTACTGGTACATTGACAGTATTTTGGTATTTTTTTCTACCTCACAAATTCACTTGTCCTCACACAAGTTTTACATGAAGATCTACTTGTCCCCCAGCTTAAAGCCTGGAGTCTGACTAGTTTAGCATAAGATTTCAGAACCCCTGTTGATTGTGTGCCCAAAATATGTCCAAAATACTGTTAGTATTTTGTATGTAAAAAAAACCACACACTAAAAATAATACCGGTAAGTATTTGCTTAAGGATTGTTTGAAAGTTGTGTCTTTTTTTATATGAAAGTTTTTGCAGCAAGTCTTTAAATTCTATTAAGATTCAAATTTTTGTATGTTATCTTGCTTGTAAATAGCCAAAATTGGGCACAAGCAGAAAAGTGTAGTGCTGATCGGTAGGTTGTTCAATGATGATACATATTTCACATGTGTGGTTCAATGTCTTATTATTCAGAAATGTTTCCAAATAAGATTTATTATGATTTCAGTCAATTTTACCACAGCTGGGCATTTCTGAAAGACCAAGAGAAAAACAGCATGCTCCCAATGATGGCTAGAGGTAAAAAAATCTCCATATTTTCTATTTGTCAGAAGTACGCAAAAATTCTGTTATAGCCCTTAGTGCGTTATTTACGCAGTAGAAATATGGTTTTAAATAGTTCAAAATCAGTCATTAATTGCACATAACATGGACATTCTTGAATCGTTAATCTTTTTTTCTTTTCTTATAATCTTAGACCGTTGTTCTCAAGCTTGATTTTTCCTAAAATAGTTTGTCTTATCTGAAGGCGTGTATCTTTAATAATGATAATAATAGTTTTAGTACAATTAAATATTTTTATATTTTGGAATTGTAGGACTGGACTCCATTTTGTTTGCCATCACTGTTGATAATGCTGAGTTAAATGCTGTTATGCAAACACCTAAACAGGTGGTGGTGAATGTCGGTAACATCACAGCACCTGTCCTGAAACCGGAAGAGGAACTTCGACCTGTAATAGCTGGTGAAGGACCTCATGGTAAGGCAAATATTTTTACTAGTGTATAAAGTGACTGATTCTTACAAAAATATAATAGAATGCACATTAGATAAGTGTTCCTAAGTTTGGTTTAAACATATTTATTTTTAAGCTCGATTGCGAAACAAGTTTTTGCAACTTATATTAATCACTTTAGAGTCAGCTTCCTGGAACCAACCAGTACTGTTGTCATATGAAGAAACATGGTCGTGACTCGATTAGGGCTCAAACCCATGATCCCTGGGTTGAGAGGCAGACACCTTAACCACTAGGCAACTGCTCCCCTTCCTACTTTTATGAGTATGTGTTTAATTGTGAATACATGCCAACAAGAAGTCTTCATCATGTTGCTTTTGGAGCCTTTGAAGATATCTGGACAGTGCTGTCCATAAGCCCTTGATGCCAGCAAAATCTTTGGCCATTGCAGAAATTACTTCTTGCTATTTTTTCCAAATTATGATGAATGATATTCATTAAAATCACTCAGGAGTGCTCTCTGCTCAAAGATTATAATATTCAACACCACTGTGAAAACCTACTGAAGAGGGTACTGCTAGTAACTCTTGTACCTTTACTGGCTACTTTAAGATTTACACTAAGCATTGTTATTAATTCTCTTCATACAGATGTGATCCTCTGTAAGATAAATTATAAAGAAAAGAAAAGAAAAGATTTTTTTTTGCTGAGACAAATACTAGTGTTCAGTAGTGAAATTGAAATTTAAGCATTAAGCTAAAATTATTTTAGTATACCAATTTGACTGAACAGAACAGACCATATCTGTATTAACTCAAGTTACATAAGCAACACATGAGTATATACATAAACGCCAGTGGTATATCTTTGTAAATAAACACATGACATGGTTAAATATTTCTACATACAATATTATTTTAGGTATTTATAAAAGCAAAAACTAATAATTATCATGAGAGATGAAAAAAAGAAAACAACGAAAGTATAACAAGTTGACAAGCATTAACATATGTCAATAAATACTTGTCCTCTTTTAAATACTAGTAATATACATGTATATATTTGATTTACTTCTTGCTTTTTTACTTACATGAAGATTCATTATATCATTTGGAAGAGTTTCATTTAAAAAAAGTCACCACAACATTGTGGTACTATGTAATAGCTTCATTTCTTTGTTAGTTCTTAGAATCTTGAAAAAAAGATATAGTTTTTACTTTATATGATGAAAATTCTAAGTTACTGTTGATGTATTGTTGTATTTTCTTCTATTCATGTGCTAGTTCTGCAATTTCTTTTAAAACAATTTCATGTAACTGGCACTTCTATATTTTTTATATCACAAAACAAATGAGCCGCGTCACGACAAAACCAACATAGTGTGTTTGCGACCAGCATGGATCCAGACCAGCCTGCGCATCCGCGCAGTCTGATCAGGATCCATGCTGTTCGCTATTAGCTTCTCTACTTGTTATAGGGTTTGTAAGCGAACAGCATGGATCCTGATCAGACTGCGCGGATGCGCAGGCTGGTCTGGATCCATGCTGGTCGCAAAAGCACTGTTGGTTTTGTCGTGACCCGGCTCAAGTTAGAATGATGTGTGTCTGTTTCTAATAACTTGGCTGATAGAAAATTACCTTGAAGATAATGATAAAGTAGGATATATTTAGGATATATTTATAAGGGATATAGCTACAAATAAATGCATGCATTTATATATGATATCAGATGTATAAAATTAGGCCAGACTGATAGTGTGATATTTATACAGTTGATTGTGAATAGATAGCTGACAAAACTTGATAATGTATGTAACTTTTGATAAATGAATTAACCAAACTGCCAGGTCAACTGAATATTTAATTTTATCTACCTGGTGTAGAAAATTTCAATTTTACTTCCACTTTTAAGCTCTACTTTAAAATAAAATTGTAGATTTTTTTTGTGTGTATAGATAACAAAAATAGATTTTTATTATTATAGTGAGAGTCTGAAACATACATGAGGATGTAATATTAGTAAAAAGGAAATAATATTTTAAAGAAGTTAGGACTTTCTGTATCATGTGATAACAATGTAAATGCTTTATCTGTCCAAGTAACACGGGCCTTGTTTACTTGAAGTTTTGGTTTTTCTTAGCTACTTCTAATGCTTCTCAGCATAACTGATGAACTAATTGATATTCATCATAAAGATATTTACAACTGCCTTTTGATATATATTTGAATATATATTTATCAGAGCGAGAGAAGAAGAAAGAGAAAAAGAAGAAGAAAAAAGTAAGTCATATAGTGAGTTTTGATGAGGATGACACTGGGGTAGGAACATTCTCCAGAGTAAATGTGACTGGAAAGACTGGAAGTTTTACCTACGGTTCACCTTCTGATACCTTCGATAAATCAGCGCAACAATTTCAGACAATTCCACAGGAATCTGTGACATCAAGCTCAAAAATTAGTGTTAATGTTGTAAGTTCTGGATTTAAAACTATAGACCACAGTGCAGGTGCTATGACAAAAGATAGTCAATTAAATAATTCTTCACAGAATAGCCAATCCGGTGCAATGTTTAGCCAATCAGATGATGTGTTTCAAAATGGTGCCACTTTGTCTTCTGAAAGTATTCTCAGATCTGCGAGTAGAGATCCCAGTATAGCTTCAGGACGATCAGATAACAGGAGGAGTCAGGGGTCATTCAGTTCAGCAGACTTTGAATTAAGGTAGTCATGCTTAGTTAATAATTATGTTCAACATTAAGTTTTATTTCCTTATACATCTAGTGGTATGTATGAAAAGTAGTTTATTGAAATGTGAAATGGTTAGAGTGACTACTTTTAAAGATATTTGGAAAATATAAGTATGGATATTCCTAGGCTCTTTAATTACAAAAAAGCATCTGTACTTTGTAAGGTACCTGGTATTTTAATGTAGACTATTTCAAATCCTGTACTTATTTTCTTTTGAAGAACCATTGTTTGGATTTATGAACATTCATCAGATTTTAATTATAGCATGCCTTAAAGTGTCTTATAACTTATGTTAATGGATTTTACAAGACACACTGAATCCAGGTATCTTAATATAATATAATACAAAGTTTTATACCTTTCAGTATGGAGATGAGTGGAACTGTAATGACCCCTGTGACCCCTGGAGGTCGCAATGCCATAGATGATGATGATACTGGACTAGGACGATCTTGTTAGTATTGTAATACATGTACTTTATAGGAGGGGGGGGGGATTGATTTGTGGTGTTTATTTTAACTATATTCATGCTTTTTTAAGACTCTCCAAAGTTTTAAAAATGGCTTATTACTTTTCAAAAAAATTGTGACCACCTGTCAAAATTAAAGTAGGGGAGATTACTATCGTAATAGTGGTCAGGTTCTAATGAGAATCAATGCTTTACACCGAGACCGAACGATCACAAATTATAACTGGAGTAAATTCTCAGGGCTCAGTAGATTTATAAATAAGTGTCACTATATTATGATGATGGATTAAACAACAACAACTAAGAAATACAATTTCAATCAATGCTTTTTATTATATGAAAAGCCCTAACAAATTTGATTAGTTTACTTATCAAATTATATTTAGTTTTATATTAAGAATAACTCTAATTATTATTTTAATTAAGATGATGATTATGATATATTTGAGCCGCGCCATGACAAAACCAACATAATGCATTTATGACCAGCATGGATCCAGACCAGCCTGCGCATTCGCGCAGTCTGATCAGGATCCATGCTGTTGGCTTACAAACCCTATTACAAGTAGAGAAACTGATAGCGAATAGCATGGATCCTGATCAGATTGGCGGATGCGCAGGCTGGTCAGCATCCATCCTGGTCGCAAACCCACTATGTTGGTTTTGTCGTGACTAGGCTCATTTTATATGTGGTCGATTACAATAAACGTAAATATTTGTATTAAGGACTAAGTCCAGTTTAATGTTTCAAGGCTTAGCCTTGTAGTACTGACCAGAGTAGGTACAGTACCTAACCTAGCTAACATTGCCAAAGTCAGCTTATTTATACCATTCAATATTCACTGCAACAATTTGATTGGTTGACAATAATATTGTATATACCATGCAGTAAGTATGAAAAGATAGTAACTCATAACTTATAGATTAACTGTTAACTTAGATTACTGTAAAAACCCATCTTATTACACTCTGAATGACTTTTTAAAAATTCTTTTTTGAGTATAGCACTAACTCTCTTGTGTTGAAAATCTAAACATCAAGAAAATGTTAACTTTCATTATTTTGCTTATAGGGGAGAACTATCAATTAAAGTAGCTTTTTAATTAGTGCTGAAAATCAAATTCTTTAAAAAAAAAACTGTTAAAGATCTTGGAAAGTTGGTAATGTTAATCGTTTATTTTAACCAACCGTTAAGTGCAAATATACTTTCTTAAGCCTCAATGACATAAGGACAAGAAAGTTCTAGAACCAGCATGTATTCAAATATTCCATAAGTATATGCTGCATCTTTCTCTGAACACATCATATTTTAAGATGACATTATGTCTTATGGATTTAACACTTGACTTGTTGGAACTGAGTGATCAACCAGCCTTAGCCATCAGTGTAGAGCCAGGCCAGCCTACACATCCATGCAGTCTGATCAGGCTCTATACTGCTTGCAATCTAATGCGATATTTTTATCTCGATATACCTAAAATTGAATTTGGACGGTTAAAAAATTGAGAGCTGGACAAGTCTATATAACAAATTCAGCAGGATTAGGAGTAAAGGGAATATACTGTTGGCTGACTAACATAACATTTTCATCTTGATATCACCCTAAATTGACAATGTACAGTTCCAAATTGGAAGCTGGACAAGTGCAGTTTAGAAATTGAGCAGATTAAGGGTTTAAGAAAGAAGTTAATTCTCATTTGTGTAATTTTTAGATGATTCCAACACACTATCAGCATACAATGGTGAAGATATACAATCTGCAACATTTGCTCTACAACAAGCTCAGATCAGTTATAATGAAAGGTATACTTTAATATAGTTTACTTTTCCTGAATTTTGGATTGTATTTTTGATATTAAAAACAAACATGTTGAGGTTTATGTAATAGTTGTAAGTTTAAGTAATGAAATTAATATTTCAGTATCTGATTTGAGTGACTGTCACTGGTATAGAGCCAGGCCTTAGTACACATATTAACAAATTACTCAGACTTCATATTTTGGGTGCTCAGTTTTAACTTTTTAATATCGAAACTCTAACAGAAGAAAGAGCTGTTCTAAATTTAAACCGGGGCATGTGTATTGTTCTAATTGAGAATCATGAAGTAACATCATTCAAGATATATAAGTGATGATGTATATTTGTAGTTCATTGCATTTTACAGAATTGTCTATTAATATGGGCGTTTATTAAAATGAATACAAGACTTAATGAATTTATCAACAACAAAAAAATTGCTTAATTCTGAGAAAGACAAATAAATAAATATGCTAGTGGTGGCATGGCTGAGTGGTTAATATGTCAGACTAGTAATCTAAGGATTGCTGACCACGTGGGTTAAAACCCTGTCAGGGGCAAGCTGTGCTTTCACTGAGCTAGAAACTTTACATTCATTGCTTAGTACTGGTTGGTCACAGGAACGGACTTGAGACTGTTTCAATAAGCTTATAGCTTCCAACACAATCGAAAATAAATAAATTTGTATAAACTAAATCAATATGCTATTATTTGTGTTACAGTCATAGGACACAAGGAGATGGAGGTAACGTGTCTGAAGACATACATAGTGACAGGATGTCTACAGGTAAGTCTAATGAGGTTAATTTATGATCACAAATATATACATTTGCATGTGAAAACAATGCACTAGTTTGTTATATAATAAATGAATTATGAGGTTGTATTAGTGAGACTGAATCTTTTTCACACACAAGTTGTATATTTCAATTGTCTTCAAATAGCATGGAATGAGATGAAAAAGTGTGTGTTTCTCTTAATAAAAAATACAGCATGTCATGTTAGTTAATGAATTATAAATAAATTATGGTAGTGACTGCTTTGTTTTGTACCAGAATATACTTAAAACAAGTCATACAAGATCAGTCAAGATATTGATTTGATTACGTAAAAGACATTAATAAGAAAATACACTCAGTACAAAAAGAAACGCAACTTTTTCATTTTTCATTTTTTTAGGTTTATACTAAATTTGGACAAACAATTTTCCCTTTAATATTCTCAATGACATTTTATTGTTAACTTGAGTTCAAAACGGCATTATTTTTAAACTCCCTCAATGCAGTTTAACGGCAAACTGTACAAACCACATTTCCACGTGCACACCGTGCTCTATAGTTTACCGATAGTTTCTATACATGTAGCCGTGTAGTGATGAATCGGTACACATGAAAAACAAGTTTATTTGAACTGTCAGTACTTTATAACCATGCCGCACCTTGCTGAACATTTGCGGAATCAAGCAATTGGTTTACTTGAAGCTGGTGTTTTGAAGATTGACGTTGCACGGCGATTTAATTGTCATGTTAGCACTATCACTCGTCTACAGAATAGGTACAATGCCTCTGGCAGTGTCAAAGACTTACCAAAATCCGGTCGACCACGAATAACCACTAGGAGACAGGATGTGAATATTCGAGTGGGGCACCTACGTAATCGATTCGAAGCGGCGTCCTCTACAGCTAGACGAACAATAGGTACTCAGGGGTAGGTGAAAATATTGCTATCTTTCCGAAATTCTTCCTCTTATCAAATTTTGAGCTGTTCACGTTTTGATGAGGTTTACCCTTTTTGAGACGTTGCGTTACTTTTCAGGCGCAGTATACATGCAAACACAGTTCGAAATCGGCTTAAGGAAGTTGGTTTGAGGTGTAGGAGACCCCTCAAGGCATCACGCCTCACTGCACGTCACAAACGGGATCGACTACGGTGGACTAGAGTGCACATAAGAATGATCCGTAGATTCTGGAGCAGGGTACTTTTCTCTGACGAAACTAAAATAGTGCTGAGCAGAGCCGATGGTCGTGCACGTGTTTGGAGGCGCAGGAACGAGCGTTATGCCGAAGCCTGTATTCAGACTTTTAATCGTTCGGGTGGTGGCTCCATTCACATATGGGCAGGGATGTCACAGTTTGGAAGAACAGATCTTGTAGTGTTCGACCGTAATGTCAATGCTCAGACCTATGTCAATGATGTTCTAGCACCTGTTGTCGTACCGTACATGAACCGTCATTTTCAGGGACATGGGACACTTCAACAGGATAACGCTCGCCCGCACACAGCACGTTTGACTCAAAACTTTCTTGCTCGGAACCACATCAATGTGCTAGACTGGCCTGCAATGTCACCAGATATGGCGCCTATTGAACACTTATGGGACGAGCTAAAACGTCGCATTTATCAGCATCAGCCACAGCCCCAGACGGTGCAGGAACTTCGTCGTGTCGCAGTGCAGGAGTGGAATAACATTCCCCAGGCATCCATTGCTATGTTAGTGACCTCTATGCGTCGCCGCTGCCAGGCGCTTATCAATGCTAGGGGTGGACACACAAGGTATTGAAACTGAAAATTTCGTGATCAATAGCGCTGTGTTTAAACTGCTGGAACTTTCGTAATTTTGCAGGTATCAATGAAATTGTTGTGTTATTGAATAAAGCATGGATGAAATATTGAAAAGGTATTGAAGTTTTTTCTGCACCACATTCACTATGGGAGATGACCAGGTATATATACAGTTTGCGTTTCTTTTTGTACTGAGTGTAATAAATGATTTAAGCAGCTGAAAAGGAAGGCTGTAGGACTTGCATAAAGGAGATGCAAGTGGTTTTGTATATCAAGATAGACCCAATACAGTCAAACCTGTGATCAAAGGCTGTCCATGGGAAAGATAAGAAATTGTCTTTATAGACAAGTGTTCTTTATTTGGAGGGTACTTCATTCCAATTTATCAATGAAGAGTTATCAAAAACTGACCTTTAATTGAAGGGTTATCATTATTCAGAGATGGACTTTAACACAGGTTTGACTGTAAATGAATGGTTAAATAAATGCTGCTGTCAACAGTTTATGCCAAATAGACTGTTGAATTTCAAAATGTAGGCCCCCTCATTGAATGAAAAAGAAGGGCATAGACTAAAGTGATAATGTATTTAGTGAGAATGGTCAACAATGTACACTATTATTTAAATGTTTTTAGTCAACTAATGTTCCATGTGTGCTTTTAAGTATGATTTCATCTTTTATAAAAATGATATGTTATATTATAATTTACAATTGTTATAGATGAGCTGAAGAAAGCTGTTGTGTCAATGATGTTAAGAAAAGATGAAGTAGAAGAACAAAATAAGTGAGTCTTATAATTTCAATACTTTTATGTGGATATTTCTTACTAAATCACTTAAAAAAAAATAGCTGCAGAAAATTGTCCTTTTGATTAATGTTCAACAGTAGTTATTTAAGGTAGTCTTACTGCAATGCTTGCCTGTCAAAACATTTCTAACATAGGCCAATATCATAATGAATCAGTCATTTCCAGAACGTTTCTTATTCGATAATTTTTAACGTTTATAACCGGGATTTAGTACAAAGCGATAAGGATGAGTGATTGTAAATAATCTAATGCCCAAGATTTTGAAAAAATAACATTCTGGAAATAACAAATTTGCTACGATATTGACCGATGTTAGATTTTTTGGGGCGGGAAAGTATTACAATAAGACTACTTTAACACTGAATTAAGTTTTAAATACTTGTACACGGGTTCATTGCTTTCTTCTCACAAAATAAGTTTTTTACTATATTAGCAATATAAAATTGCCATACGTCTTGAACAAACTAAATTCTATTCATTTGAACATAGTCAACAGTGAACTAAGTTTTGTATACTTGTACACAGATCATTGAAGCAGATGTTGGAACAGGAAATGGAGGCGTCGTCTATACTGAGGGCGGAGATTGAGGATATGAAGCATACAGAAACTACCAGACATGAGAAGGAACAGGCTAAACTACAGGCATTACAGAAGTATGTGAAATCAAATATGATCATATATATGACTTAAAGTCTTATACTAACATCCAGTATTAAGAAATGCAAATTATAGATGTAATATCATGTACATGCAAAATTACTTATTGAGAAAATATTTAGTGACAACAGTATTTCGTGACAAAGATATTCTAATTATTTGTACTGATAAAGATTTGATGAGAAGTTAGAAGTTACTTATAAAAGACAGAAAAGACATGATGTAGTATTCAAGAGCATGCTCTAATTAAGTCTTTGAAGTACATGACTGAGATACTTTTGTAGAGATAATTGATGTCATTTATAAATCTGATATACTTTACTTACTACACCTACATAGCCTAAATGCATAAATGGGTGCACTGGTCACAGCATTAATGCAACAGATGGCAGCCAGCAGATTAACAGTTAAACTACATATTATCACATACCCATGCTGCATTTGTGACTCCGTTTAAAAGGAATAGTAAGGCCATGCATATATTTTGACATGATCTCATTTGCTTATATAAACATAGCATTGAGACACTCTGAATGTTAGCTTTTTACTATTAGGTGTGTCAATGAAATATGTTTCTTTTTTACTTCTAAATGGTCTTTATTTTTGGTATGTGATAAATAGAATTTTAAATTGGTGTTAGTATTAAACTTACACTCATTCAATATCCTCTATATATTTGTATATTTTAGAGAAAATGAGTTGTTAAAACATCAGCTAAGGAAATATGTGAATGCTGTACAGATGTTACGAACTGAGGGAACTACTGTTGATGGTAAATATATATTGTTTTGATTTTAAACTTTCTATCATTTTGAAATAAGCATTTTGCTTTCTTCATTATGCTTATCATAATTACAAATAGAATCAATCATTTATAAACTTTGGAGCATTTCATATTATACGTTTTTAGATGTAAGTGATAAAATTTGTCAATGGCAATAAATTTAAGTGACATTTGTGACAGTATGGAATTGAACATGGTCCATATATGACCATGGTCTGCAGGGTAATACTGAAATTCTGAGACATTGATATGTTAAGCTGCCGCAAAAAGCATTATGTTTTCAATAAGAATAATTTCAAATTAAATATTATATACAAATATATAATTTTTATGAACATACCTTTTTATACATCTGCTATTAACCTTTCATTAAATGTTACTTACATAATATAATACTATAATTATAGTGAGTTTGGGGATTCACGTAGAAGAACCACAACCCACTATTCCACCTGAGAAACCAAAGACAGATTATAGTCATGAGGCGGAGGAATACGAGAAAAAACTTATACAGGTGAGTATTTTGATGATTGTTCTGCTTCTCTTGACATCATTTTCCATATAATATAAATGCATTTCAAGCTAGCCTTTTAAATTCATGCTTTGTATGTAAATAGGATTAAAGGCATCAAATGCATTGCATTGTATTTATTTAATCTTTCACTGATTAATTTGTGTATTGAACTTACTCTTCTTCAAATCAAAATTAGAATTATAAATTGTTGATTTTAATATTGATAGAGAACATCTTGATTGTATGTATTGTGAATCAGTGTTAGAGGACGAGTATCACTTTCTTATCATTTGTTCTTTACATGTAATTTTACGTTCATTATATATACCATTGTATTACAATCAATATCCGACTGTTGAAAAGTTCTACTCTTTGATGGTAACTGAAAACGAGTTATTGATACGTAGTGTTGCTATGTATATTTATTATGCAATGAAAGAAAAGAGATAATGTCCTTAAATGTTTTGAATAATGTATATTCAGATTGTACTGTATAATTGTTAAAAATTTGACCATTACTACAATGTATATCTCCAGCAATAAGATTTTATATTGTATATTTTATGCACTGTGTATGGGCAGGAGGCCTTTTGTATAATAAAAGTGTTGAATTGAATTGATTTAAGGGAGTTTAGTATCAAATGGAAAAATAAACCAGCCAATATTAAAGATCATTGTTACACTTCAGATATTTACAGCCTGTTTTAGTCTTTGATCATAAGTTATGATTAAAAGTAGAATCAATTATTGATAACACATTTCTTTTCATTTTCAAATTTCTTACATAGGTTGCTGAAATGCACGGAGAACTAATGGAATTCAACGAGTTGTTACATCGTCAGCTGAACCTCAGAGAAAATATGCTCAAACGACTACAGAATGAACTTGTTGACCTTAGAGGACCAGTAAGTCCTGTTTTCATACTTGATATCTTAAAAGGCAGAATATAATGTCTAATAGGAGTTTTCCTTACTTTTTTCCTGATAGATAGAAACTAAGTGAGTTCAATTTGTGAAAAGTTTGTTAAAAGAAGATTTTGTCTAATTTTATTGATTAAAAAAAAAGTTTCTTATTGTTTTATATGTTGTTTCATATATTACTTTTTCAGTTACCACATGACATTAACTTTACAGATGATTTATTGGCCATGGGTGCAGAAAGGTAAATTTTACTTTGTTAATAAGTCACGCTATATAATGTAAGCATTTTATTGCCATTATGCGTCATCTGGAAATAAAATCTTAGAGATGTAACAATATCTAGACGTAGTATTAACATGTACATTTCATTACCACTTCTAGGTATATGATAAATCTATAGAAAGTTCAGGCTAGTTTAAAACATGTATTTTTGTAGGTTCAATCTGCATCATTTACTTCAAAATCTATATGACTATATATGAAGTTAAATCCAATGCTAAAGGACACTTGAGAATGAAGACCAAATATTAAAAAACTCTTTTGTATTTGAGTGAAACATACAATGTATATCTGCCTTTAAGATTTCATGTCTACAAAGAACATTCCTTCATTTGATCAGTATCTTTATTTAAGCTGTTTTATTAAGGCTATTCTATCAAGGCTTGAATTTCAAGAAATTTTTATTGTAATATATGTATTTTTTATTACCTTACAGTTTGAGTATACAGCAAACCAGTCTGATTAATGTATGGATACCATCAGCTTTTCTCAGAGGATCTGGTGCTGACACCTATCATGTTTATCAGGTATATTCAGATAATTCAATATTTTATTGTAACATAAAACATTTGTTTGTCTTACTAGAACAAAGTAACAAATTGGGATATATTTTGTACAATATTTAAGTTCTTGGTTAGGAAATCAAAAATGATATTATTATTATATAAATAAAAAATGATGCAATTTAAACACATGAAAATCAAGTCAATTATATTTTCTTTGAATGTAGTGTGATAATAATTTTAATTTCTTAGAACAGGTTGTCTGTCAAATAATTAAGCTCTTTTGACATCCTTATTCATTATATCTTTTAACATTCAAGTTGTATTTCCTGCCATTCATTTATAAGTTTATACCAGAGGAAATTTTAACACTAGGAAAACTGCATAGCAGGAAATAAAGCTTGACATTTTCATCAAAGAAAGACTCTGAAAATTTACTTTAAAGGCCCAATATGCTTCAGAAACAAATAAAAGTTTCCTTCTTGAAAAAGGGCAAACATTAGTTTTATAACATTTAAATAATGGTTTAAGAGCATGTTAGATACTTATTATCTTAATAAATAAGAGCTGAATATGAAAATATTGGTCACTAAAGTAGCAAAATGTAAACAAAGTAGTATTTTGACTTCCATACAAACTACTAAATCACAGTAACTGTATTAATTGCCAGAACACAACAGAAAAGAAAGATGTTTCAGATAATTGGCTAATGTGTAACCCTTTTTGAAACTTTATCAAGACACCAAAAATATTTTATTTATTTTTTTGAGTAACTAAAATAAAATCATTTCTGGAACATAATGGGCCTTTAATTACTATATGTCTTGTACTGTAGGTATATGTAAGAATAAAAGATGAAGAATGGAATGTTTATAAACGCTACAAGCAGTTTAATGAGTTACATGCTGCAATGAAAAAGAAACATCCGCTTACTGGAAAATTTGAATTTCCGCAAAAGAAAACATTTGGTAAAAAGGTAACAAAGAGTTTTATATTGTTTCTTTGTTAACAAAAATAAACTTCATACACCTTTGTAGACACCGGTATTATCTAATATCAGATATATAGAATTGCAAAGTGTTTTTATATGCTTCAAAAGTTCTTGTTGATTGAAAAGTCTGTTTTAGGGAATAATATGAAATAATTCAAGTAATATATTAAGATTTTAAAACTTTTTTCATAGCAGGTAAAAGGTAAAAAAACTCTATAGTTTGACTCAAATAGACTGTTTGATTTGTACCTGATGGCCTGTTAATTTAAAGGTTTTTAATTTGTAAGCCAAAAGGAATAATACTTTAAAAAAAGGGGTATCTCTACTTTTAGGCAGCCGTTATAGTGTTCTCCATTCCTTTTGTAAGTCTATTGTTCATTTATTCTCTGTAAAAATTAATTATATGCTTACTTTATGAAGATATTATGAATGTCTATATATTTCAGGACAGTAAAGTAGTTGAGGGAAGACGAGTTCAATTTCAGACATACCTTAGATGTTTAATCAATCATATTCTAGAAAAAGATTCAAGGTTGTCCACCAATCCCTGTAAACAAACTTTGTTAGATGTTCTAGATTTCTTCAGGTAAGTTTTTATCAAGTTGAAAATAAATATTTACCATTGTATAATCTCACAATTATAAACAAACTATGCAAAATGAGTAATTATTTTAAGAAAACCTTGCAAGTTTTGCATATTTATCTCCCCTTAAATTTTTATATCCAATTGAAAAGGTCAATATACTGTATGTTCACTCAATAGTATCCTCCTTGCAGTATTTATCTCCCTTGGATTGAAAATGAACATGCAAAAATGGACAGATTGGTTGTCTTATATCTTGATGTAATGATTTAAAGGGACTCCACTGAGGTTTTTTGACATGTAGGAACTGAAAATATTTTTTTTTAAATGTCTGAACAACTTGATGAAGGTCTGTACCAATATCTTGTGTACAAAATTTCAGATCATCCACGCACTCCGCTTCTTACAGTCAAAAATCAATTATAATGCACAAATTGACCCCAAATTGAAAAGTGGTGCAACTCAGTTCACTCAAATCGACCCAAACACAGCATAAAAAATCCATTATGTTAACATATTATTTATTGTAAGGTTTGGTTAGCCCAATTTTCTTTTAGAATGTTTTGGTTAACCTTTTTGTTCAGGTTCGTATCTCAACATAATGTTTTATTTTTAAACTAAACTTTGAATACTTGTTCACTATCAACATAATGTTATATTTTTAAACAAAACTTGGAATACTTGTTCACTATCAACATAATGTTATATTTTTAAACTAAACTTGGAATACTTGTTCACTATCAACATAATGTTATATTTTTAAACTAAACTTGGAATACTTGTTCACTATCAACATAATGTTATATTTTTAAACTAAACTTGGAATACTTGTTCACTATCAAAATTAGAAAGGGAAGATAATTCTTAAGGTCATTTTCACCTAATTATTTGTCTTATTAGATTTAGAATATTAGAATACTTTCTTAATTTTCTCATGAAGTGTCTCAGATATGGACTTTTAAGTTAAACTACTTGTTCATTATTAAAGGCATGCAATTCTGCCATGCATTTTTACAGAGTTATCTTCCTTTCTTTGCTTATATCATATCATCCAGCTCTGATTTTTTTATATATTTATCAGAAGCATGTTCTTTTCAGTGACAAAATAGCAGAAAAGGACAAGAAGAAAAAGAAGTCAGATGGTCAAAGGACACCTTTGTCTTCTAGTCCAAGGCAAGCAGCTCCCATACCTGAACAATACTCTGGTTTATAACCTTAATTACAGAAATTCTGTGTAATATGTTTGTTAATTATAAAGAAACTGTCAATAACACATGAAAAACAACATTGTTCTTTTAGTTTGAAAGTAATTATACCCCCAAAAACAAAGTTTGGGGGGGTATATAGGAGTCACCTGGTGGTCGGTCGGTTGGTCGGTCGGTCGGTCGGTCGGTCGGTCCAGACGTCCGTTGCATTTTCCTTGTCCGGAGCATAACTTGAAAACTAATGGTTGGAATTCAATATAATTACATACAATGGTCAAGCACATTGAGAGGAAGTGCAGTGCACAATAACCATAACTCTATCTTGACTAATTACAGAGTTATTGCCCTTTGTTAATTTTCCTTGTCCGGGGCATAACTTGAAAACTACTGGTTGGAATTCAAAACAACTTCATACAATTGTCAAACACAATAAGGGGAAGTGCAGTGCACAAGAACCATAACTCTATCTAAAGTAATTACAGAGTTATTGCCCTTTGTTGCTTTTCCATTGCTTTTTTTTTTGTCCGTTGCATTTTCCTTGTCCGGAGCATAACTTGAAGACTAATGGTTGGAATTCAATATAACTACATACAATGGTCAAGCACATTGAGAGGAAGTGCAGTGCGTAAGAAACATAACTCTATCTTGACTAATTACAGAGTTATTGCCCTTTGTTACTTTTCCTTGTCCGTGGCATAACTTGAAAACTACTGGTTGGAATTCAAAACAACTTCATACAGTTGTCAAACACAAAAAGGGGAAGTGCAGTGCACAAGAACCATAACTCTATCTAAAGTAATTACAGAGTTATTGCCCTTTGTTGCTTTTCAATTGCCTTCTTTTTTTTGTCCGGAGCATAACTTGAAGACTAATGGTTGGAATTCAATATAACTACATACAATGGTCAAGCACATTGAGAGGAAGTGCAGTGCATAAGAACCATAACTCTATCTAAAGTAATTACAGAGTTTTTGCCCTTTATTACTTTTCCATTGCTTTCTATTGTCCGGACCATCATTAAACTTGAAGACTAATTGTTGGAATTCATTATAACTTCATACAATGGTCCAGCACATTGAGAGGAAGTGCAGTGCACAAGAACCATAACTCCATTTTGACTTATTACAGAGTTACTGCCCTTTGTTTATTTTCCTTGTCCAGAGCATGACTTTAAAACTACTGGTTGGAATTCAAAACAACTTCATACAATGGTCAAGCACAATAAGGGGAAGTGCAGTGCACAAGAACCATAACTCCATCTTGACTAATTACAGAGTTATTGCCCTTTGTTACTTTTCCATTGCTTTCTTTTGTCCGGACCATAACTTGAAGACTTATTGTTGGAATTCATTATAACTTCATACAATGGTCAAGCACATTGAGAGGAAGTGCAGTGCATAAGAACCATAACTCCATCTTGACTAATTACAGAGTTACTGCCCTTTGTTACTTTTCCTTGTCCAGAGCATAACTTGAAAACTACTGTTTGGAATTCAGTACAACTTCATACAGTTGTCAAGGACATTCAAAGGAAGTGCAGTGCACAAGAGCCATAACTCCATTTTGACAAAATACAGAGTTACTTCCCTTTGATACTTTTCCTTGTCAGGAGCATAACTTAAAACGTACTGGTTGGAATTCAAAACAACTTCATACAATGGTCAAGCACAATAAGAGGAAGTGCAGTGCACAAGAACTATAACTCTATCTTCAGTATTTATAGAGTGTTTGCCCTTTGTTCTTTGTCTTTGTCTTTCTGGACTTATTACAGAGTAATTCAATTAAACTTCATCAATGGCCAACCACATTGAAAGGAAATGCAACATACATGAACCACAATTATTTTTAATTGCCCACAACCATAACTCTATGTTTCAATTCTTTTACAAGGTATTCTGTTACTAGTAACATCCTCATTTCCGAAGCAGACTTGTGGGGGTATTAATCACATTTAGTGATAGTTCTAGTTTATTAATGTTTTAGAGTGTAATCACTCAAGCAATGGTTATGGTGCAACTTTTTAACTCGTAAATTCTTAATACATGTACAATGTATATTGAGAAATGTGCCAGTTTTAAAAGTGTTTCATTATATGAAATTATTTTATAAGCTCGACTATTCGAAGAATAGGGTGAGCTATTGTACTCACTTAGGTGTCAGAGTCACACTTTGGCTAAGTTTTTGCATGTAAGTTGGTATTTTCAAAACTACTGACAGAAATGGATTGAAACTTAACAGACTTATTTGAGAGATTGATAGGATGTTACTTTCTAAGAGCCATAACTCTTAACATATATTTTGACAGAATTATGGCCTTTTTGAACTTAGAATATTCTACATTATCTTTCTAGGCTTTTGTTCAACTCTCAAACACTGAGAATAGTCCAGCATGCTGTCCTAACGACAGCTCTTGTTTTTTTTATTCTACTTGAAGAACTGTGCATAATTTGTATAAGGCTTGAACTTGTGTTCAAAATGTGTTTGGAGGAATAGATGGGCAGTATTTTCATAGTGTAATTTTCATTTGATTAATGTTGTGAGATATTGTGTAAAGCCAAAAGAAATTTCTAATTTTAGACATTGTGATGCTTAAACTTTTCAACTTCAGATAAATAACATTTGAAAATAAATATTGATTATATTCTAAGTATAAAACATCAATTCCTATTCATTATTATCATAGTTAAATAAATTAAACTTCTTCTCTCTTTGATTTATACAAAAAAGAGTCTTGCTGATGGGGTCATTATGCTTAAATAGACTATCAGAAAACAATTTTTTTTTTAAATAAGTCTTTTTTTTTGTAAAAGTACCCTGGGAATTGGAAGGCAAAAATGGGGACGGGTGTTGTTGGGGGCTTCCTTAAGTTTATATAGCCTTAAATAGATCAGATGTCATAAAAATCTTGTGATTACTGCAGTTCCAAGTGCAAATTACTCTTCTGCTTGTAGCATGTCCATGTCCTCTACAAAGGTTAATAATTATGTAAGTCTTGGGTCAAAACTGGCTCAGCCAAAAGTCAGATAATTTATATATGCTATAATTATTTAGGAAAATAAATTTAGATTCTTTTTATACTTAGTAAGTCTCTAAAAAATCTGTGGTCACATGGCCATATAGTATTATTGTTAAATTTAAATAATAGTTCTCCCCCTTTGAAAGATTTATTTCTAGCTTTCTGTCTATCTTGTCCCACTCTTACTGTGCTTTTATTTGTATATACCAAGTTTTATTGTGTTTTGATACATTCAGTTTAATGGCTTTTTTGAAACATTATAGAAAAGATTGCAAAATTGATTATGATATAGTGCTATGATTGAGGGACCAGTGCAATTGTGAATTGATTATCATGTACATGTATATATTATGTTAAACTATTATATATAGTCTTATTCTGAGATTATAAGAAGTCAAAATGTGGCATTGATATAACTCAGTGCTCTTTGTTGTTTATAAGTATCAGATATTTGAATACACTTGTTGTTTTGTAATGAAATATTTACAAATATATTGTTTTGTAATTATGTATTTATGAAAATTGAATAAAAAGATATAAATATTTTCAGCAAACTCTGTTTTGGATTTTTTTACAAAAGTTCGGATTGATTATCATCACTACATGTTTGTTTGTATTTAAGAAGCCTGTACTATATTTATAGAATACTCTAAAAGTAATTAACCTTGATCTTGCTGAAACCGTGTGAATATCCTTTTCCATCAGTATACAGCCAGGCCAGCGTATACATCCATACATTCTGACCAGGCTCTATACTCTTGATAGCTTTAATTTTGTAATTTGAGATTGAAAACATTTAAACTTTGATAAAACTGTTCCAAATTCAGTGCAGGACAAAACCATTAAACAAATTGAGCAGATTAATGGTTATTTATGTTACAGTATAAATTATCCCATATCACTTTAGTTGAAGTAATGTAGGGATTTTGAAATCTTCAGCTAGTTTTGTTTTATTGGGATTCCGTCTAAAACAAGGATGCAGATGTTAATTGAAAACTTAAATACTATTTCTGATTGAAATATTATTTGTTATCAAAGTTGTTGCAAAGTTACTTGCTGTCAACATGCAAGGTGCCTCAAAAAAGTATTGATAGGCTTTGTTTATTTTCTTCTTGGAAACACATAGTATGAACGAAGAACATTAGTTCTGTCATAATATTCTTTCATTGAATGTACAATGCGTGATTTTATGTTCTTTGGGAAGTGCTCAAGTGTGGTTTAATGTTCATTAAGAATACGTCTTAAACAAGCTAGTGACCATCAACCGTTATCAAGAATAATATGTAGCAATTAAGATGTGATGCTGGCATGATTTTGGAATGCATGCTCCAAATTTGTTGCTAAATGTTCATAAGAGTAATCCCAAAAACACATTTTAAAAAGAAAAAAAACTTTGTTAGCAAGTATATTGCTTCGTGGGGTTCATAAAATAGTGTTGTATGTGTAACTAAATTCGTACTTTTTGTGTCTGACGCAATTGTATATCGTATTTGCAGCAAGTCATATATTTGATACATTTTACATTTTTACTTGGATTAATATACTTTTATTATAGTCATTCTTGTTATATCACAGTCGCATATAGTTGCATATTTATGTATATTAAAGGGACTACAACGAGTGAAAGAACTGGTCCAGTGTAACTTTCGATAAAATCTTCATGTTCTCCTTTAAATTTTGAAAAAGGTGCTTCGAACATTTCAGGAGTACTGGTTGACATTTTTTAAAATTGAACAAGGCAGTTTGAAGGACAGCTAACTCCCTTTCCGCAGCGGTCAATAATGTATACTTCTGAGATTTGTGTACTATTTGATGTAGGTCTGAATTTGTGTACAAATTTCCAGATCAGTCCCGCACACCGTTTTTCCAAAATAAGCATTAATGTGCAAAATGGCCAAAAAATGAAAATGGTGTCAACGCTTTTCATTCAAATTGGGCTAAAATTCGCATCAACTATAAACTGAGTATATTCATAATTATCCTTTGCAATTTTTTCCATTTTAAGTAATTCACTTGATCAATTCAAATTTTTAAGTTTTAAGGCTTTTTCACCTCAGTCGTTTAACATGTTGTCGGCACTGACTTCTGATATGTTGTGATTAATCATCAAATGGTGTCAATACAGCATCTGTACCATCTGTAAATATAAAGAAAAATATATAAGTATCCATAAACTTGCAGCAAGGCATACATTATTTGCAATTTATTGCACGTCTTGTAAACATTGACACGTGCTAAAATATTTTTTACCTCCCCGCCGATATTTTTGTTTTGAAAAATTTGCCAAAACATGTTTTATTAAATGATGTATATGGAAAGAAACAAATCAAGAACTCCTTTCAAGAACACTTCAAATCGTATTCCAGCTAAATTCTTAAGTTTAGTTTAAAAATGTCTCTGCTAGAGATACGTACCATTTTTTAGAAAGCAATTACTTGCGAGGTATAGGTATAAGATGTAAACTCGTATATCGGAATCATTTAATAATGAAAGCACTGGCTAGAAAGCTGACACAAAAGTCCCGTGCATATCGTAGGACAAGATGAAACTAGGTATATACCTTGCGGAAAGATACACTTCTGAAAAACAATGTTTTTTTCTTAATATTTGGATGAATCAAATGCATTATGTTTTGCAAATTTTCATCGTCGGATACCCACGACCGAACCGTTAACATTTATCTGATTACATGTTAATCAACCTAGGGTATCCGACGATGGCAAATTTTGTGCGTGGTTTAAGTGAATTTACCCGGCCCTTCTCCCGATCCTGAACCATCTATTGTGTCCATTGGAGAATCGAAATTTTCAGTAAATTCAACTGTAATGAAAAACAGAAAGATATTTTTAATGATTTAAAATAATAATTAAAGTACACGTGTTTCAAATAGATATACATATAACACTTTGAAAAACACAATACTAAGAATTGTCGGTTTCATATAATCTGACCATGATTTTATTGTTGAAAACTTGTTTAATTCAATAGCATCATTATTCTGTGACCAAACTTAGCAACCTATTTAAATATCTGCCGTTATACTTATGTATTTTTCAGCACAGAAAAAAATAGAAACAAATCGGTGTTTATATTCTTCAACTGCCTGGAAGGCAGCGCGCTCTTTTGATCTCAATGCCGGATAGTAAATTGCAGTTTCCAGATAAAAGAGAAAACTTAGATAAATGGCAACATTGACATTTGACCTTTTTACTAAAACATGGATATGACAGGCAAAACTCTTCTACATGCATCTGCAAATAATGTCACAATTGATGCTGATGACTTAATAAAAAAGTTAACAAACGTTATTTCGTATCGTGTCCTTTGGACCCAAAATTAAAACGAAGAGTTAATTATCACGATGCGTCTAAACACAAAATTTAAAGATAATAGGCCAAAGGACAGTTTTTAGTTTTCATTATTGACATTGACACATTGACCTTGACCTTTGACCTGAAAATAGGTGTGGCAGGTAAACGCATCAATGTTCATCTCCAAAATTTACATATAGATTGAAAGTTTGGGTGATATTTATGATTTGAACCACAAACGAAAACTTAACTAAAGATATTAACCGACGACAACGCCAAGGCATAACAAAAGCTCTAAATTTTCAAAGCGGAGCTTAAAAAGTTTCAAAAGCAACACACCTGTTTCTTCTTCGTTGGTAACAAGAACCACGGCTATTATTACTCCTGTTATAGCGACTAGCAACACAATAGCTAACAGTAACAGCAATTTCCACCGCCTTCTGAGACACGATGTCCTCTTAGTCCGAACATATTTCAGGTTTCTATAGATACCAATAGTGCTTTCAGGACGTAGAATTTCATCTTCTCTAGGAATAGTACTATATATTTCCGATTCTCTCTCCTTTACTTGCCTATCAATTGTATCATATGTAGACTCAGATCTAGGTTCAAATGATGTATATTCATTTTCCACACTTTGCCTAGTCATTGTATTCAATCTCATTGTAGGATCTGATGTAACGTTTCCTGTATTTTCATACACAGTATCTTGTTTCTCAGCGTCATCGTAAATATGTTCGTCTAAACTTGTCTCAACGATATTCTTTCCTTTTAAAGTTTCATAACAATCGATATCTAGTTTATTTGCATACGGATGACTTTCGTCATCTTTATCTTTAAGACCAATATTAATATCGTGTAGATTAAAGTATTCCATTTTTATAAGTATTTCCGCACACGATGATTGTTATTGCTAACAAGAACAAACTTGTAATACTTCTAAAAATATATATTAAAAGCCATAAGAAACTTTGCTATACTTGTAAAGTAAGCCAGATATGATTTGATTATTTATCATAAATAGCATCAGCATTAAGAAGGAAGTTGATATTTTAATGTGAATACTCCCATTTTTATTTATGGTTTTTGATACATATGATAGATACTGCGAGTAAGTAAAGTAAATTATACTACATAAACAGTGCACTTTATGAAAGGAAGCTGGCAAAACATCTCGTGTAAGTGTTCACATCATTTCATGCATGCAACAACATTTAGCTGTGAAATAAAAGTATTTTATCATATTTTACCTAATATTTACAATTTAATATTGAACGGATGAAAATAGTTTGGATATCCAATGATTATAAAGTCTTTCTATTCTTATGTTTTATATTAAAGGCACATTATGCCTAAGAAACGAATAAATTTTCACTTGTTTAGAAAGGGAAAACATGAATTCTATAATGTTTGAATAATAAGTCAGAGCATTTAAGATGCTTGTTACTTAAAAAAGTAGCACTAAATGTATGTGAAATAGTTTGTCATAGAAGTAGTAAAATGTTGACAAAGTAGTATTTTACTAAATTACTAAATTAACTTATTTCCAAAAAAGCAACAGAAAAAATCTGGATCAAGTAATGGGCCAATAAATAATGTTTTGTAGACTATGAAAGTACACCAAAAAAGTGTTTGAAAAATAAGATAAACGCCTTTGCATGGTATACTGGGCCTTTAATTTTACAGTAGATGATTATTAATAGATACACGGAGAATGCAGTCATTCTACAATATAAATTGTCGAAAAAAAGAGTTTGTTTGAATAATGAACTTCATGCTTTCGTAAGTGTGCAAGGAAATTCGTTGACTGTGAACTAGATGAACAGGACAGCTGACTAAGTTGTAGAGATCGACATTTATTTAGACTGCTTGAAATTCAGTTGTCAAGTCAAATGTTTCCGTGCATAAGTTTGAATCCATTCTTATTTAAAAATATCCAGTACCATTTAATATGATAATGGAAGTGTATTGAGTCAGGGATTTATGTTATTAATTGTAAATTCCTGATTAAGTATGATTGTGTTAGATAAAGTCCTAATCGTTGAAAAACAGGCATCCTAACTTATCCCTAACAAAAAAAAAAAAAAAAAGAAATAAAAAAAAAAAATCGCAATATCGCCCTGGCTTCGTCCGGCGGCAGTGACAACCGGATGGCAGCAGCTGAACATTTTGCTCATTGGGCAGGTGCCGTCGAGTTAAAAGTAAAACTTAAAAGGTAACAGCGTCTGGACAATAATTTTTGTGGTCAGCGAGTTAAAAAATCATCGGGCAGATACCGCCCGGTCAAAGGCGGTGCTCGGGCTGGGCGATTGTTTTGATACAAAAAACACCGTCCGATTTTAAAGGCACCCAGTCCCGCCCGGCGCCAGAATAGACACACGTAGGCCAGGTACCCGGACGATTCATGAGCAGGCACCGGGCGGTCATCGTTATGCCGTCAAGGGAACGGGGAGGCTTGAGTTTGTTGTAATTGCGGCTTGAATCGAAAATGCATTCGTGAATTCCTTTGGATTTAACATAAACTCATTCGTCGTGCAAATCCGTCTAAAGGCAAAGGAAAAATAAAATTGTTGCAGCAACATTATATGACAATAGTCACCGCAGAGGTGGTCGTGTTGATGACGCCATGGCCGCGGAAAAGAATATCATAAGATGTCAAGCTTTTGCCGCCTGGTGCCCGCGCAGCGAGCGCTCGATGCATTTAATAATTGCACAGGCGCCTTTCGAACATCGGGCGGCAATCGCCCGATCCTATGAATGCTTTCTAGCTGTAAAATCAATTCGGCAAAAAACGCCCTCATGACCACGCAAGGTAATCGCCCGGCGTTCGCGAGATCGCCGATGCTTTAAAAATCGTTTAACAGGGCGGTGCCCGTTTTATTCGTGACCTAGCCATTAATGAGGAACACATTTTAGAACAAAAATAACACGAGTTTTGATAAAAAAAATATTTTAATTTCGTTTTGCCTTTAATCATTTTACGCATGCCGTATCTGTTTGTTCATTTTATGACCTGAAAGTTAAAAGATTATTTGCATTTTACAACTTCCTTGATAAAAAGATATGTTTTACGTTTGCTTTCAAGCATGACTTTATGTGGTTAAAGTGGGGGTACAATCAAATATAACTTATATCGAGTAATATTTGGATATTTATACACACGTTTTAGGTTATATACTTAAAATTATAACATTTACCAAAACTTACTTCAGTATAATCTATTTGTTTTGACTTTCATACTTTTGAATTATTGGCTCGGAGTAAATGCGGGTTAAATATGTATATGGTGTTAATGATAAATAATATTAATTATTCCCCCTTTTTATTTTATTATCAAGTTCATATATATTTGCTTGCTTGAAAGAACCGCATTTATTTCCTTATTCGTTTTGCTCAAATCGAAATAAATCATTAATTTATCCTTTTGTCTACAAAACTAAGAAAATAAAACACAAACACATATGTAGTATTGCTTTTATTTCTATGACATTCCATATGTAAACAATTAAACATATGCATTAATATAGAAACATATTAAATAACAATCGTTCGAATCTGATATGATCCAATAACATAACTATAATAATGAACCTGAAAATGTTCAAAATATGATATTCTGTTTGAAGTACTTTTAGGCATATTTCTAGTAGTTTAATTAAATAACAACACATTCAAATTGATAGAAGAGTGTAGAAATTACCCATTATGAAAACCGGAAACACTGTATAATTAGAATGACAAACTAACTTATATGTATTTCTTATAAAAGCCTAAAGAAAAATTACTAGGAAAGAGCGGCTATATTGCTTAATAGTATTACCCAGATTGTGACAGATATTGATAATACTGAAAATGAAATAACAAAACATACTATGAGAAACAAAGGGCTCCAGCAGCTTGTAACAGATATTGATAATATATGTACTGAAAATGAAATAACACAACATACTATGAGAAACAAAAGGCTTCAGTAGCTTGTGACAGATATTGATAATACTGAAAATGAAATAACACAACATACTATGAGAACAATAGGGCTTAAGCAGCTTGTAACAGATATTGATAATATATGTACTGAAAATGAAATAACACAACATACTATGAGAAACAAAAGGCTTCAACAGCTTGTGACAGATATTGATAATACTGAAAATGAAATAACACAACATACTATGAGAAACAAAGGGCTTTGAACAGCAGCTTGTGACAGAAATTGATAATACTGAAAATGAAATAACACAACATACTATGAGAAACAAAAGGCTTCAGCAGCTTGTAACAGATATTGATAATACTGAAAATGAAATAACACAACATACTATGAGAAACAAAAGGCTTCAGCAGCTTGTGACAGATATTGATAATACTGAAAATGAAATAACACAACATACTATGAGAACGATAGGGCTTAAGCAGCTTGTGACAGATATTGATAATATATGTACTGAAAATGAAATATGAGAAACAAAAGGCTTCAGCAGCTTGTAACAGATATTGATAATATATGTACTGAAAATGAAATAACACAACATACTATGAGAAACAAAGGGCTTCAGCAGCTTGTGACAGATATTGATAATACTGAAAATGAAATAACACAACATACTATGAGAAACAAAAGGCCTCAGTAGCTTGTGACAGATATTGATAATACTGAAAATGAAATAACAAAACATACTATGAGAAACAAAGGGCTTAAGCAGCTTGTGACAGATATTGATAATATATGTACTGAAAATTAAATAACACAACATACTATGAGAAACAAAAGGCTTCAGCGGCTTGTAACAGATATTGATAATATATGTACTGAAAATGAAATAACACAACATACTATGAGAAACAAAAGGCTTCAGCAGCTTTTGACATATATTGATAATACTGAAAATGAAATAACACAACATACTATGAGAAACAAAAGGCTTCAGCAGCTTGTATCAGATATTGATAATACTGAAAATGAAATAACACAACATACTAGTACTATTAGAACGATAGGGCTTAAGAAGCTTGTAACAGATATTGATAATATATGTACTGAAAATGAAATAACACAACATACTATGAGAAACAAAAGGCTTCAGCAGCTTGTGACAGATATTGATAATACTGAAAATGAAATAACACAACATACTATGAGAACGATATGGCTTCAGCAGCTTGTAACAGATATTGATTATATATGTACTGAAAATGAAATAACACAACACACTATGAGAAACAAAAGGCTTCAACAGCTTGTGACATATATTGATAATACTGAAAATGAAATAACAAATCATACTATGAGAAACAAAGGGCTTCAGCAGCTTGTAACAGATATTGATAATATATGTACTGAAAATGAAATAACACAACATACTATGAGAAACAAAGGGCTTCAGCAGCTTGTAACAGATATTGATAATATATGTACTGAAAATGAAATAACACAACATACTATGAGAAACAAAAGGCTTCAGTAGCTTGTGACATATATTGATAATACTGAAAATGAAATAACACAACACACATCTGAAAAAGATAGGGCTTCAGCAGCTTGTGACAGATATTGATAATATATGTACTGAAAATGGAATAACACAACACGCATCTGAAAAAGATAGGGCTTCAGCAGCTAGTGACAGATATTAATAATACATGTAATGAAATAACACAACATACTATGAGAAACAAAGGGCTTTAGCAGCTTGTGACAGATATTGATAATACTGAAAATAAAATAACACAACATACTATGAGAAACAAAGGGTAGTCAACAGGCACAGGCTGACCACATGGTACAAAGTAGTCAGATATCAATAAAGCCGGTAAACACAATGGTAGATGTTAGTCGTAAAAGTCCAAAAAGCACCATTGGAGTTGATACTGACAGGGACATATTGAATGACATGTATACCATTGCAATATTAAATAGTAGATACTGAGGGCAGGTAAACAAAAAAATGGTTTGATAGATGCCCTCAATGGCTACTTCAATAGAATGGCGTGTAAACAGAAAAGTTGACCGCCTTGCGCAAGGTTGTGGCCAGTAAGTATGAATCTCAGTCAGGAGACAATGTTTCACTATAAGAAATTGCTGTAACCAGAAGTGCTTTTAAA